GTCTGGTGTGATTTTCAAGGTGTCTGGTCCAGGACTCGAGCCATGAAGGTGGCCATGTGGGATCCAGCCACCTTAGCATCTACACCATCTGCTAGCCCAAAGCTTTCCCTTTTTATTTATTTATTAATTTACTGAGATATTTTTGCTATAGGGCGCATGTGCTTGCCGGAGAAACAGAAAGTGAGAAATGACTGTACCTCCATCGCTCCATCCCTTCTACTCCATCCTCCTCTCTAGATTTTGGTGTGCATGCACATGTGCCTGGCACGAGTTTCAAGCTCCCAGGTCCAGGATTCAAACTGTGGTCAACCACATGGGAGTCCAGAGCCTTAACCACTGCACCACCTGCTGTTGCCCCCCACACACACCACCAAGTTTTCTTTCTTAACAGTAGTTTGAGAGACCAGCAGATGGAGTAATGGCTATGTCATTGGACTCCCACATAGTCAATTGCAGTTCGAGTCCCAGACTCAGTGGCTTAAACTCACACCAGGCGCGTGTGCATGTGTGCCCAAGTCCTGAGAGAATGGAGGAGAAGGGATTGGGCCATTGCCAACCCCCGGGGGGTGATTTCTCACTTTCTCTCTGTCCATGTCTCCAGTGAACACACATACCCTAGAAGAAAAATTTCTCTAGGAAAAAAAAAAAGATCAAAACAAAAAACAGTGGTTTGAGGGGCTGGCAGGTGGCATTGTGGTTAAGGTGCTGGACTCCCACATGGGCAACCTTGGTTTGAATTCTGGACCTGGCAGTTTGCTTTCTCACTTTCTCTCTGATCAGATTTTAAAAACAATAATAATAAATAAAATTAAACAAACAAACAAAGAGTCGTGTGAATTTGCTTTTCCCTCATGGCGCAAGATTGAACATCTCATGTGCCTGTCTGTGGGCATGTTTTCAGATTCGGTCTTGGGTTGCCTTTCTTGTGTGACTCCTGCCTTCCCTGATCCTCAGGAGGTGGTGGTGCTGCTGGCATCGCACAGGGTTCGACCTCACGGGTAGGGACTCCTGCTCAGGCGTTTCACAGTGGTGTCTGGGAGGCTGACTTGAAGGGGGCACGAGGTGGGACAGCACCCTTCCCTCCTGTCCATACCCCAACACGTGCATAATGAAATCAGGGCCTCTGGAGAGGGAGTCACTTGGGGTGTTGTCAGAAAGTTCTTTTTTTTTTTTTTCTTTGAGAGGTTTTTTTGCTATAGGGCGTGTGCGCTCGCCAGACAGACAGAGAGAGACAGAGAGACAGAAAGCGAGAAATCACCCCCGGGGGGATGGTCACGCCACAATCCCTTCTCCTCCATTTTCTTCTCGGGATCTTGGGCATGCACGCACATGTGCCTGGTATGAGTTTTAAGCCATCGGGTCCGGGACACGAACCGTAGTCGACTACGTGGGAGTCCAGCGACATAGCCATTATGCTAACTGCTGGTTCCCATGGAAGTTCTGAATCTGATCTCACAGTTGGAAATGGTGGAACCCAAGCGAAGGGCACTGCCTGGCTCGGTCATGCCGGGGCCATAGACACTGCGCTATCCTCTTGGGCAGTAGAAAGGGCTGGAGCTGCAGAGCTTACATCGTCCCAGGAGGCCTATGGTTCCCACAACACTTCAAAAACGTGTCCAGCCGATGTGCAGCACCCAGGGTTGGTGAGGAGAGCCACCTCTGAGCAGTGACTGTACCCACACTCTGACTCCCCGCCTCCCTGAGGTGGACTGTGAACATGAGGTGTCTGAGAATCTCTGAGCTCAGGGGCAGGAGTCTTCAGCTAGGAGCCCAGCAGGGGCCACAGTGTGTCCTGGAGGGGAGCACTAACCGGCTCTGACAGGAGCCAGGGTGGGCGCGTGGGGGAGCGGGCTCAGGTTCACCTGCTAGAGCAGGACTCTACAGGTAGGACCCGCGGTCCCTGCGGCTCACAAGGAGCCTCCCAGCAGAAAGCACATTCCAAATACAGCGCCTTTCACGTGTTCTCCACGGGTGTGGTGAGCCCGTGCAGAAGATTCCGTTCCGTACCTGTGAACGACATCCTCTTCATTATAACCTAGTAACTGCATTGCTAAGGAATACCAGAAATGGCATCCATAAAGTAACATGAGGGTGTTTCCAGTTGACTGACCTCTGTCACTATGACCTAGTTACTCGACTAAAAATGTTACTAAATGTTACTAAAAATGTGTTCCTTCAGGACCAGCAGACGGCATGGCAGTTATGTCACTGGGCTCCCGCATGGCCAACCGCAGTACAAGTCCCAGGCCCGGTGGCTTGAAAGTCATGCCGGGTGTGTGTGCATGCGTGCCTAAGATCCTGGGTGGAGAATGGAGGAGAAAGGATTGTGGCACGGGCATCCCCCCCTGGGGAGTGATTTCTCACTTTCCCTCTCACTGTCTCTCTCTCTCTCTTTCTCTGGTGAGCGCATGCACCCTAAAGCAAAAGCCTCTTACAAAAAAAACAAAGATATTCCTTGGGACCAGCAGTTGGCATAATGGCTATGTCTCTGGACTCCCATGTAGTCGACTGCGGTTCAAGTCCCAGACCCAGTGGCTTAAACTCACGCCGCGTGCGTGTGCGTGTATGCCCAAGGTATGCCCAAGGTCCCGAGAGGAGAATGGAGGAAAAGGGATTGCGGCGTGGCCATCCCCCTGGGGGGTGATTTCTCGCTTTCTGTCTCTCTGTCTTTCTCTGACTCTGTGGCACACGCACATACCTGATAGCAGAAACTTCTCCAAAAAAAAAAAAAAGTATTTCTCTATTTCCTCATCTGTAAAATGGGGATAATAGTACTTCCAGATTCGCTGAAACTCTGGGAAGCTTAAAGTGTTTAAAACAGCGCCTGGCCACATATTGTACAAGCGGCAGCTATTATTGAGATTAAAATGTGAGCAGCCCTGGCCACCAGCACTTCCAGCCACATTCTAAACTCCAGTTGTGCACGCCCCCTGGAGGGAGTTCGAATTCCTACAGTTATGGAGTGTGGTTTGCTACCTGTGCTTGTCAGAGCTGCTACAGTGGGTAAACACAGTGGCATGCCCAGCCACTGGTCTTCCCATGCTGGTATATTGCTGTTCACTTAGCTTCGTTATTGTGGGCGCCACATGCTGGGATGCTGCATGTCGCCCCAATCATTTTCTTTTTTTAAGACAGGGTCTCGCCATGCTCAGCTCTTCCCACCCCAGCTTCTGAGCTGGGACATGGGAATGCGAGCGCCACCACTCCCAGCTCTCTCAGACAGGGACTCCCTGTGTTGGCCAGGCCATCCTCAAGCTCAAGACCCTCCTGCTCAGCCTCCTTGAGTCACTGGGATTACAGCACTCTCTTATCTATCTTTTTTTTTTTAGAGAGATAGAGGGCGTGTGCAGAGATGCAGAGACAGAGACAGAAATCACTCCCCGGGGGGATGGCTACACTGCAATCCCTTCTCCAGTCTCCTCTCGAGAGGGCATACATGTACACACATCCAGCATGAGTTTTAAGCCACCAGGTCTTGAACTCAAACCGCATTTGGCCATGTGGGAGTCCGGTGACATAACCGTCATGCTATCTGCAGGTCCCATTGGTATATAATTTTTGACAGAAATGCTCCAATAACTCAATTTCAAGCCATCAGTGTGTGGCTCAAACATGAGTCATCTCTACCCCTACAGGTAAAGCAGACACACACACACACACACACACACACACACACACAGAAAACCATCTCCCTTTGCTGAGCGCCTTGTGTTGTTACTAAGTTCTTTAAGTGGGAACATCTGTTGAACATGGGCTCTGTGGTTTTGAACCTCTCTTAAGTGGACAAGGAACCAAAATACTGGCGATCCTGCACGTGAAGGGCACAGGTCTAGAGCCCAGGGTGGTCCTGCTCCAGGACTAGGTACACAGGGAGTGGTAGAAGACCCCTCTGGAAGGCACCCAACAGTCTACTGTGGGGCACTGTCTCTGGCCTTCTCCTGGGGCCCTGTCTCCCCACTCTAGCCTCTACTCCACACCAGTGAGCCTCCTCGTGGACGCCAGAGGTTCTGTGGGGCAGAGTGCTCACCTACGTACACACACGTGTATGTACATGCACGTGCACCACACACAAATATAGCTCAGGACTTGCCTCCACACACTCCACTAGGCCTCCTCCGACTGAGGACACCCAGTTTGAACCTATCGTCTCCTCTGCACTGGAGGACTTAGCATATTTCTTTCCATGTCTTCCCTTCTCTGCCGAGGCACAGCATCCTGCCCAGGCCATGAGGATACACCTGAGAGTTGTACTGAGGCCCACTTACATACACGTACCCATTAGACACAACATCCCGCAGCGAGTGGTTGGGAAAGCTGGGCCCAGAGAGGGTGAGTAAATTGTCAGAGGTCAGTCACACAGCCAGGTTCAAGCCAGAGGAGCTCCCTATTAAATCACATTGCTTCGGGACCAGCAGTTAGCATAATGGCTATGTCGCTGGACTCCCACGTAGCCGACCGCAGTTCAAGTCCCGGACCTGGTAACTTAAACTCACGCTTGGCACATGTGCATGTGTGCCCAAGATCCCAAGAGGAGAATGGAGGAGAAGGGATTATGGTGTGTCCGTCCCCCCCGGGGGGATGGTGATTTCTCACTTTCTGTCTCTCTCTGTCTTTCTGGAAAGCGCACGTGCCCTATAGCAAAAAACCTCTCCAAAAAAAAAAAAAATTAAATCACATTGCCTCTTATTAACATACCTATTGGTGGGGACAGGTGGTGGCACAGTGGTAGGACACAATCCTCTGCAAGTCTGACCCACATGAGAGGGTTTCGGGTTCATATCTGGCGACATCCTTGAGTGCTTCTGGCACGTGTGTGCCCATGATCTGGGGTCGGCTGGAGCTGGGGGTGGATTGTGGCATTAGGATCCTATTGGGAACATGCTCTCTCTCCCTCTTATTCATGGAAGAACAGATAAATACACTTGGGGGGAAATGATGCCTCTTGGAGACTGGACTCCTTAGCTAGTAAACTAACCGACCTCCCTTCATGGTCCCTGCAGATGCCAAGGGGACCATCCGGGAAATTGTCCTGCCCAAGGGGCTGGATCTGGACCGGCCCAAGCGGACCCGCACGTCCTTCACCGCCGAGCAGTTGTACCGCCTGGAGATGGAGTTCCAGCGCTGCCAGTACGTAGTGGGCCGTGAACGCACCGAGCTGGCCCGCCAGCTGAACCTCTCTGAGACCCAGGTGAGAGGCCAGCCCCAGGCCACTCCACCCCCGTCATGCCAGTCTGGGAGCTCCTTGGCGTATGAGGCCCGGGGGCTGCTATAGGAAGGCCCAGCTTGGGAGGAGTTCACATGTGCACAAGGGAAACACCACGCTACAGGTAAACCAGAGCAAATAAGGAGAGTACTGACAAGAGAGGGGCAGTCATGCCCACGGGGGCCCTGCATGCATCTGGTGCCATGGGTGAGACCTGGGAAAGGCCAGAGACACGGGCTTGCCCAGATGCAGGGACTGGCTGAGGGAGTGTGGGCATGAAGCAGATGGCGAGGAGGTGGTTTGCTAAGATAAAAAATCCCAGGCGGAGATGAGACATAGTAAAACGGTGCTAGGGACCTCTCTTTCCCCCTCTGGGCCTCTCCCCAGCCTCCATTGCTTTCCATCATCTCTGTGTGCCTTGCCCAGCTCCATGTGTCAGAGAGGAGGGATCTGAACACCCCCACCCCCAGGAAGGGCTGGTGTTTTAACAACACTGCTTAACCCAAAGGGAAACACTTGTAAACTGAGCATCTGCGTGTGAACAGACACTCTGAGCCTGTACTAGAGTTGCGTAACAGTGCAAAAGATACTTGGCCAAGTGCCAGGCACTGCCTATACTCCTCAGGTCACACCAACAGGACGCTGTCCAGTCACCCCTCGGCACTAGACAGATGCACCAGAGGTCCTGGTCCCCTTGAGGAGTGAGCGGGCTCCTCCTGTGGTAAAGCAAGAGCCGTGAGTAGGGTGGAGGGATAAGTGAGAGGGCTAAGAGGAGGGGGAGGCAGGGATTATGGGCCTTAAGGGATGAGTCATCTCCACCTGGACTGGTTCCCTCCAGCTCTTACCACAGAGCCCCCAAGCAACCATGCAGGGCTCTCCCTCCAGTGGAGCTCCTTCAGGAGCTGGGAAACCAGGCTTGTGCTCAGAGAGGAGGCTGCAGCCATTGGGCCAGGCCACAGCGTGGGGGAAGTCAGAGGATACTCTCTAACCCTGCTGACTAAGCAAAGAGCCAGTGCCCTTCCTGTTCAAGTCACATCTGACTCGGTTTTGCCCCAACTGAAACCTGAGGCTGAGCTCTGCAGGTGCCTCACATAGTTCCTCCTCTGTCCTCAGCCTTCCTATACCCTGCACCCACCCCACCCTATACACCCCACTTTTAACTGCCCCAGAGGTCAAGCACAAGCCCCTCTTCTTTCAGGAAGTCTTTCTCTAAGGCTTTCTGACATCCCAAGAGACCTTTCCACATGACCTGGCCTTTAAGTATGTATGTGTGCGTGTGCGCGTGTGTGTGTTGCTGTGGGCGCCAGTCCAGATGCACCCCCAAGAACAGCAGTGTGTGTGATGGCCACATCTCCTCTTCGGCCTCCTCGGAAGCCGAGTGCACAGCTGCCCCACGCACAACGGGCCCACAGTGAATCCTCAGCTGGCCGATGCTGCCACCCGTCCTCCCCGCCCGACGAGTGTATAGTGTGAGCCACGCGGAGCCAAGGTCCCTGAGCACCTCCTGCACAGACCCTGCTCTCAGGCTGGGCACATTCTGCCTGTCGCCCTGTCTCAACCTCGTGGGGCTTCTCTTCACCTTCTCTTCGGAGGCTAAATGTCCAAGACCACCACCAGCCAGATGGCTAAGACTCCGACATCAGTGGGGCATCAGCTATTCTGTTCTGAAGTCACTCCCAGTGTTAGCACAGACCCCACAGGTTAAGGGCTCGGTCCCACAAGTGAATGTCATGGCAGATGCCAGCTGCGAGTTCCAGGAGCCACCTGTGCTTCCCGATGAATGGTCCTGAACATGCCCCTCCTCAGGTTTGATCACTGAATGACTCATAGAACTCAGGCAACTCTTCCCTGTGCTGCTCCCTGGTTTATTATAAAGGATACGAGTCAGGAACAACCAGATGGAAGAAATGCGTAGGGCAAGGGAAGAGGAGGGACTGGAGCTTCCAGGTCCCTCTTGTCCGCCACCTCTCAGCTCTTCCATGTGCCAACTAGGACGTTCTCTGGTCTCATTTGTGTGTTTGTTTGTGTGTGT